TATTCCATCTCGTCACTGCTATGCTGTAGGGCAGACAATTCTGAAAAAAAATAATATTCAACACTTGTGATTGGACAAGATAGTGTTTAAGTTGTATCTATTGTTTTATTGTATTGCATGTATTGCATAAAATTAACAATTAAATATCAATTTAACATTTTAACATCGTCTACATAATATTTTAGAAAAGATAACCGAGATTAATATGTACWTAAATGTACTTATTATAATTTATAATTTGTCATAGATATTATGGTTACTTCTTCATCCCAACTATTTAGCTTCGGTCACCTTTGTGCACACCTCCACTTTTTTACGATTTTCCACATCCCCTATGCACATACCAACAGCCCTTATATCATTCTCAACAGTATCCTGCAACCATCTCTTTTTTGGTAATCTTCTTCTTATTTTTCCTTCAAGATTCATTTTCATAATTAGGTACTCTTACTGCTTTTGTTTCCTCTCACCTCGTCACATGCCTAAACCATAGATATTATGGTTACATTTACGTAATACTAATAAAAATAAAATATATACTAAAAAATAACGTATAATACGTTAACCCCTAGCTGTAGTAACTTATATGTGAATCAATWTTTCGAATATAACCGACACATTTTTGTACTTTGCAATTAGCATCTTTTTGCTAATGTGGGAAGAAGGCCTTTTTAACATTTCATCCCCTCCTAGCCCATATCTTACTCTGTTGCGTGATAATGATTTTTAAACTGTATAGAATACGTGTACATATATATATATAATATATATATATACATATACATAATATAGAACCCACCGCTCAATTTTTTTTATCCAATTCAAGCATTGTGATATAAGCTTCATTTATAAATACATATATAATATATATACAAGTGAAACGCATGGGGACGAGGTTATAAACAATTGTACGTAGTTAAAGGCACGCGTTGAAGGGCTCTTGTGCAGCAACCCACGAGATTGCACCACGTGATCTAATACCTCGAGTGCGTTTCGAGTTCAGGTCTTCATCGATTATCGGATATAGGGAAAATGTCGGTGAARCACCACACATATACAATTTTTTTACTCGCATTAGTTTCGGTCAAAGTAGAAAACCAAGAATTGTATAAAAACTGGGTGTATAATGCCCAATGTAAAATAAGTATCACATTCATGACCCTGGAATTTAATATATATAATGATCCAACAGCGGCAACAACTTTAATGGCGCGCAATGTTTAATAATACTATGTTATAGTTGAAACCATGAARAATAAAGATGTTTGAGTCTTATTTAAAGACATTTGAGTGAATTATTTATAGACAACTATACAAACTAATGTAATTTAATGTATTCATAAGTATAGATACATACCTAGTATAGCTTTAGTATTGAATTAACRGGTATTAATAATTAATTTAAATTTCTTTTAAAAATTATGTTTTTATATTTCATTATTATTTATTGAGACACAGATTCCTGGGTGGTTCAATATAATACCTATGGGTGACTGATTTTAAAACACTGGAATGTGTTTGGAGCTTTGAGGCTATATCTTTTAATATCCTGTAATTGCGTTTAGGCATCATAGTTTTATTAAGAACATATTTAATTGAAAATTTACATTTGTACTTTAAATTATTAAGTTTAGATTGATACAATATATTTTTTTATCTTTTATACCTATTGTATTATTATAATTTATAATACAGTAATACACTCGCTCAAAGATCAAACACAGTATATTAGTATATAACAAACTCGCCCAAACAGTTTGTTTTTATTAGGCGAGTGAAAAGACAATACTCCTAAACTCATGAAGCTCGGATTACTTTCATCAAGTTTTGAATTTTGATACACAAAGTCGTTTAGCAACTTTGAATKTTGTACATAATGTTAAACAATTGTTAATTAAGCATACAAGGTAATGACTAATGTTTAACTGTGTACCTACATGGTACTGCCTTCAGTTCAGGCATAAAGGTGTGTACGGGGTAGACAGAATAAATTATATCGACTTGTCTGTACACTTGATGCGTGTACAATACTGTACATGTGTTATATTTATGTGTCAAATATTACAAGTTACAATTTATCCAAGAATTATGTTGCTGCAGTAACATTTATCAATTAAATAAATCATAAGTAATTCTTAAAAATATATTTTTAAATATTTATAAATCTATTCATTAATGACACATAATTAATATCAAATATGTAAGGGATAAGTAATATGGAATAAATTCAAACAAAATGTATAACAATAATGATGGGCCATGATATAAGTTTTTAAAATACTATTGACTAARWATTGAAGAAAACACGTTATTGTGGTACCGAGGAATTTAAAATTACGTTGAATTGTAAAATGTATATCTTGCATTCTTGCAACAAGGCATAATTTATTTTTAATAATTGATATTATTTCATCCAAATTTAGTTCTATTTCATAATTTAAAATATAACTTGAGGGGAAATATTCGACAAGGCATGCTGTGCTTAATCTGACCTTAATATTAATAATACAGTAATAATAGTAAAATAACGACGTTTTCTATCGCATTTCTTGATTTTCCATATCGTATTCCGCTCTATTTAACGCGTTAAATCTTAGATATTGGATCTATAAGCGTCTTATAATCTCGTTTATATTTTATATAGTTAATATTATCTCATATTATAAAAAAACTCAATATAATAAGTATGATAATTACGCGTGTTGTACTTCTATATACGGGATATCCGTTTTATAATTTTTTATTTTTGGAATATACACTATACACATATATAAAATACTAATTAGTAATTATATTTAGTTTATATAATACAAGGTATTATACAAAATACATTGATCTAATGATCTCAAAAGTTTTGAAAATTGTAAATTAAAAATATGTATTTTGAAAATAGATTAAATACCGCTATAATATGGTTTCTTCAAAATCACATTAGGTTTTCRCATCATTATACATTAACATAATACATTTATATATCAAACATCAAACCTATAACCTAACCAACTAGATCCGATTTGCTACCAAAAGAGCGTACTCCACTCTTTAAGCATTTTTCCTTTAAAAAAAAACACATAAATCAGTACTTTTATCGCTCCGCTCAGTGTCTAAGACATATTTACCATTGTAGCCCATCTTTTCCTTTGCACGTAGGCAAAATCAACTGTAAACCCACAGTTTTAAAGGTCAATGGATACATCTAATGGAAATAATGGGTTAGTGAYTCTTTACTTTAAAATTTTAAGTATAAAAAATATATGAGTATGATAATTGTCTTATTTTGAAAAGTGAATTTTAAATTGTAAGCATTTAAAAACTAAAATACGAAAATAATAAGTAGCAGCATGGGTATCTGATGATCAAATAAAAAAATATATTCAAAACATTGTCCTGCATCCATGGTAAAATATGCTTATAATATAATCTGGCATCGTTATGAATCGCGTACGAGCCCAGCGGACGATTGCCATAAATTATTAGTCTTACAATTTACCATAGCGACCGCGTTCTTACCACGGCCGTGATTGTTCGATACAGAAACTYACTATATTATGTGTACTCTGTGTAATAGAAATAACGATGATGATGATGATAACAACAATAATATCATAACTCCACRGTCGGCCGTCTCGTGACCTATATAATATTTATTGTGGCGCCACGCTGTCGTTGAGATTCCAAATAATACAAAATCACAGAACAGGTACATAGAATATGACAATAGGCATGTCTCGACAAAGCTGTACCGACGACGACATTGTCGACGGTCTGTTGGGCGCCGCGGGCCGCCTCTGTGACGAACCGCGCATACGAGCCCTGTGCGTAGACGCTCGGCGCACGTTTCTCCGACAACCCATGTTGCTGCGGTTGCAGGCACCCATAAAAGTGGTCGGTGACTTGCACGGTCAGTTCGGCGATCTGCTCCGGTTGTTTGACGTGGCCGGACGACCGCCGAAAGCCGACTTCCTGTTCCTGGGCGATTTTGTGGACCGCGGCCCTCAGTCCGTCGAAGTATGAACACATCATGTAATAATATTATGTTATATACATTTTGTATTTTTKTATTTTTAAAAATTATCAACTGTTTCAATACCAGACTTCGACCGAGAAAAGAGACATAAAATGCGACGATTTATTATCGCGGTGTATCTCGGTTTAGGTTATTGGCCTATAAAGATAGCTTTAACTTTATGTCTTTATCTATCATCACTATGGTTTTATTGTGATAAATAATATTACACTGGCAAATCAGCATAATAGGTTTACCTGGCTTTGTGAACTATAATAATAGTTTAATCGATAGGGGCAATTACACGGCTGCGCAAGCATTATAATGATAAATGACATTATATTTTATATACGAATATTATTATATTATTGTTTAAAAAATTCCATGTACAATAATGCACTGAGGTGGATCGGCTCGTCTATCACAATATTTGTTCATACATTTCACTTCTGTGACCAATATGTTAATGGTTCCATTATGAAATGTATTTGTAAAAAAATATGATGACACTTGGACATAATATGCACTTTATTCGTTTTAAAATTTAAAAAGTATGACATCTATTTTTGATGTTAACATTTTGACAAGTTTAAGAACCCGTGTGACAAACTAGCCTCGACCTCTTATATACGGTGTAGTACCGTCATTTCAGTTTTTAATAGGTAGAGCCTTGACGGAGAAACAGTTTTGAAAAACCAACATATTATTACAAAAAAATTTGTTCGCAAGCTGTTTTCTACTAACAGTAGGTACTATTAGACTATTTTCATCTAATATGATTTTAATGTATGCATATCGTAGGGAAAATACACTTAAATTAATCCACTTTGGTATAATTGTGGTACTTTGTTCTATAAGAACCATAATACACTAAATTTTTCATGAGGGGTCGAACAAATTAATTTTTAATACTAAATACACGCGACTGCTATAACGTTACTATAAAATATATAAAATATTATTGAAACAATAATTTCCAGAACAGCAGTATAGGTATACATTCACATTATTATACATTTCGTCATGATATAACATAATATTGTCGTGTGGTTTTTAAAATCGGACAGCAGATGCAAATGCCCTTACCCCTCATCGAATGACACCACTGAAATGTCTGAAACACAAGACAACATAAGTTACACCTACAATAGTTATCGCATCGTATTACTTATTACAGTTACCTGTTATACATTTATTATTATTTTATTATTACGCTGTTTATTATTTATTATCACATTATATAATATTATGTGTATGAATATTGAATATAATGAAATCAAAGATTATGTATTTCACACACTGAATGCGTATCGCGAAGGTGATCACTCTACTGTTGGCGCTCAAGACTCGGTACCCGGAAAACGTTTATCTGCTCCGCGGGAACCACGAGTGCCGTACCGTGAACATCCGGTACGGGTTCTACCGCGAGTGCCGGTCCAGGTACGGCCTGCTCACAGGCGCCCGGCTGTGGCGAGCGTTCAACCGGACGTTYGACTGCATGCCGGTGGCCGCTGTCATCGGCGGCCTTATATTCTGCACGCACGGYGGCCTCAGCCCGGATCTGCACCATATGGCTCAGATCGACCGGATCCGGAGGCCCGCCACGGTGCCCAAACGCGGTGTGCTGTGCGACCTGCTGTGGTCCGATCCGGCCGAGGGACCGATCCAGGGTTGGCGCAAGAACGTTCGGCGGAACGTGTCGTACGTGTTCGGCGCCGATCGAGTGGCCGATTTCCTGTCCAGATTCAGGTTCCGGTTGGTGGTCAGGGCTCATCAGGTACCTGCAGTAGCTATACGTCAATTTCGGGTTCACTCGACTCGTGTATTTGACGAACGTCGCTAAACGTAATCGTCGTGTTGTGGGAACAGAGTTGGCACTTGAACGAATAATATATAGGTATTCGGTATTTGGTATTCGTGGATAGTCATTATTCCCCACCTTCCCGCGGATCATAGGTAAAGTGAAATCACGACCCAAAGAAATATAATATTGTTTGTTCGTCAAATACACCGCGCGAGTATACCTATTTAGGGGAATGGTAAAATATGTTTGACTATATTCGCGTGTAATTTAGTATTATTCGTATACATCTTATTAGTCGAATTTACAAGGCGTGGRACCCTGCAGTCTATACTGCGGCTTGTACGCATGCGGTATATAAATATATTCACTTGGTATCTGGTTACTGAGTGGTGTTGGTTATATAGGTCGCGAGATGTCAAGTTATATTATCCCYAAAAAGGCCAAAAGTGACTTTTTTCTATGTGTTAATAATATTTTTGAAAATTCCCGAGTTATACAAAAAAGAGGCAAATTTATTGTAATTTTAAGTATTATATTTTTTTTACGATTTTTCTTACGATATTAATTATTACTTATATAAGGAATACTCAAAATAAACTTAAACGATTAAATACCTAAAGTCTGTACCAGGCGTTCCCAACTTTTTTATCATCGAGTACCACCAGACACTTCTATAATCAATACGCGTACCACCTCAATTCTAAAACTAAATTAGGAGTTAAATTTTTTTAACGTATATTTTTAATATTCATTCATTTCTTTACATTTTTATTATTTGATGAAATTATGAAAGTAAAAAAATAATAATTTTTAGTTAAATCTAAATATTTAAATTTTAAATTACAATTTTCAAATTAATAAAAAAAAAAAAATAATAATATAAATAACACCAACGTTAAAACTATAAGAATGCGCTTTATCGATAAGAACTAAAATTAACTATAGAGTTTATCATAATTTAAAATTCTAAATTGCTACGATTACAAATCCCATGTAATCGACATTAAATATTATTTTGATAAAATAATAATTTTATAAAATCAGCTAATACTAAACACTAAACTAAACTAAATRATATTGAATGCAAATAGTAATAAAAAAAWTTTTTCGCGTACCACGGGTTGGGAACCTCGCTGGTCTATACCGTTAAATATTTTAATATAAATATTGGCCAAAATGGCAAGACAGAATATGATATTATTAATTTATGCTTTCATAAGTTCTAMGAATTTAATTTATCCTTGAATATTGAAATATTATAGTTACATCTTATGTAAAAAACACATTTTATTTATATAATATTGCGTTTTAATAATATATAATCTACACCGTTGTTTTGTATCGTATATAGGYACAGTCATTATATTATGTATAATATGCTCTAATTATTACATTTTTAACATTATTTTTTGCGGACTTCTTATTATATTCCGCTTTGATGGTCGATAGAAATAAATAATATATAGTTGGCGGGCGGGCACGAAGAGTCGAGTAGGTACCTACGAACACGAAGCGGACATCCGATCGGCATTCGTATCAAACATAAAATTATAGTTTTTATTCATGATGAACACTTACCACCCTCGATCTTATCCCCAACGCAATTACTGTTTTATTTTTATTGTCCGGAAACGATTTTTTCAAACCTATATACATCAATGTTATATGGCTATAAAAGTAATATTGCATACTATTTAGATAACTATATATGGATGTTTGTATATAGGATATAATATTATATGTATATATACTGATTTAGGGCCAGTAGTATATAATATACTTAATAATTGTCGTCCCCTCTTTTGGTCATTCGAGCGTTTGTCACGGTTTGATTGTGTAATGTATATTATTGTCATTATTATCATACCTTCGTTGTTGGTTCACAGCCCAACTTTGCTACGTTTTAACGTTTATGCGATGATAGAATATTGTTTGCTTATAATTTGGCAATAATGGTTACAGATGTATAATACGGGGACCAAGTATTGAGGTAATCTCAAAGAACTTAATTACAATTTCACTAAAATCTCTACGCTTAATGAGTTTGTTTTATTATCATAKAACAGTATGTTTTATTTTTTATTTCTACCGCAAACATTTAATTTTTTAATACTCCGTGCTTATATATAACGCGTTCGCAATGTCTGGCTAAAGTTATAGAAAGGTCTAAATAACGAATTCATATACTAAAAATATTTTATTATAGTACCTACTGTCTCTGCAGGGATTATAATATATAAATAAATAAATAAGTTCACTATGGCGGGGCTTATGGTACCGACCACGAGCTATATAACTTACACATTATATTATTATTTAACACTTGACACGGTGAATTCAAAATTCAAAATGAAGTAGTCTTATTATGCATATCATGAGTGTAAATTA